CATACAACTTCCGATATTGTTTGTTTATATTTTTAATTGAGGTGGTATGTGATAGGTCAACTACAAAGTAGTATACGATATAAGTGGATCACAATTGGTATACACATATCCACGTATTAACATTTTTTCTTACAATCAGAGATGAACTTTAACTAGATAGTGAAAAGAAAGTGAATAATAAGGAACTGAGGAACTGTAGAATCGGAGAGCCTTATGGACTCGAAATTCATTTTTGAAGTCACTGTTCGTTAATAGTTTACTCAACTATATGATAACGTGGTATACAGAAATGAGAAAAGGGTAGAAATCTTCACAGACCAGTTTAAATGGGCTGCTTGACCCTATCGTAAATGGTATCACTGTTCGATAATGTTATTGGCAAGCTCTAGAATTTCACATGAAATAAACCATTCTCCGACGTGAACGCACTTCCGCAATGTTTGAGTTTCTACATCCTCCCTAAGGGCTTCTGAGTACCAGTGATGTAGTCTTTTGTCTCAGTAGCATCTCGTTACACACCTAGTGGCTACACCAGGGGGGGGGGGGCATTTCCCAAAACTTGTCATCAATGACGAATTGCTTCTGATTGGTTATCAACAGATTTGTCACTGATTTTTGTAATTTGTCATTGAAAAAAGGCTTTGTGAAACGGGTCCCTTGAGGGTGTGAGGGGCACACGCATGCATAATTCTTCCAATTAAACCATGTACAGTCATACATATCTATCAAGACTATCGAAGGGAAACACAAAAAAGTGGCCACTGTAGACAGGTGGTCCTCCTAGAGGGAGGAAATATGGGTGGTCACTATAGAGAGGTAGCTTTTATAAAGGGGTTTGACCCTATACACTGCTAAGCTCTCAATCTTCTAATGTTTCTATTTACCATAATCTTAGATCACACCATTACAGGACAGATTTGTTGTGACCTCTGTTTTCAAAATCCTGGGAACCGTTTCACAAAGCCATTTTTCAATGACAAATGACAGAAATCAGTGACAAATCTGCTGATAACCAATCAGAAACAAGGATATCAGTAGCTTATAGCAAAACTTTCTTTTGCCACTGATGACAAGTTTTGTGAAACCCCCCCCCCCCCCCCCCCCCCACCTGGAGCCACTACTGCAAACATCTCTTCATTCGTCTTTGTGCACACCGCCAACACACCCTAGAGCTCGTGGAGATTGAACCCATGAAAGGACCAGCGCTGGAGGATTTGCCCTCGAGTGACGCCATTCCTTACAAACTATGTTTACCATCTGGGCACCTGCAAATATGACCTCAAAGCCTTATTAGAGGTGTACCCAATTTAGCAGTTGCCGCTAAAAAAGAATCGACCCCAATTTCGTGGAATCAAATTAAAAGGAGCAGTTAATTCTACACATAGAGTTACTTGAATTACTTTTCAAATGCTTAACCACAATGCACGCGCACTCACACGCACACGCACACGCACATACACACACACAACGCACTAACGCACACGTCCAGCATCCACGCACTTATCAATGCATTCTAGTACCGTACATGTAGTCAGGTCGTTGTACTGTATACAACCAATTTTGATTGAATCACCTATTACAAAATTGCTCCACCGTGATATGAATAAGAAATTTCGTTGTGTTCCTGTTTTCGACGGCCATTGACAAGAAGCTGACGTGACTGCACATATAGATCGATGGCTTACTATATACACAATCGTGTAATCGAAATTCAGAGGATTTTCGCTTAAGTATTCCGTTGGCAGAAGGCAATTACACTATGCGAAGAGGCTGGAGCAATAAATTGCATGAATCTGCTTCTAATGATTATCTGATCTGAAAGCTAATACCACAAATCGCAATATCGCAAACGAATTTGTGATTCAATCCCAGAACACTTGGACTTCTCTTTTTATATTTATTTGATCTCTTTCTGTGGTGTGTTTTCGCAAATCACTTAAAGAAAGAACGCAGATCTCTGTGAGTAAAAAAATAAATAAACAAAGGTTTGATTACACACTTTTCCTCCGAAATGTTAAAGCAAATATCCTAGGTTTGAAAAGTGGAAAACAGTACTACGTAATCTATTCTTACTATTTCTGCCTAAAATCAATTGGAAATTTCTAGCAAAACGTACCCTCTCTTTGTGTGTTTAAAGATGAACATTCGTCATGTTTGAACCGTTACTAAGCATTCAGGAGAATCAGATAAAATATTCTTTTGATAATTTTTCCGCGTTTAATTTCCTAAAATAGAATAATTAATCGATTTTAGGGTTAAGCCATTGCAAAATCAAAAACAATTTTCGTGTTGGTCCTTTAAAATATAACATTATTTAAAGGGCCTTGATCTCGTTATTTCTTAAAATCCGTACATTCTTGTCATCAAAGCTTTTCAGGCCCTCTTTCACGGTGATATCACAGGCAAACCCTTAACAAACATACTTAGAAAAAAGAATGATTATGTTGTATATAGATTTATTCAGAAATGGTGAACATAATTGTTTTGTAATGAAATAAACAAACGAAATCAAGGCGAAATAGACTGAATATACATATATGAAAACAGCATCATTAATTTAACGGAAATTGATCATTTTAAACTTTATCATCTAACTCAGACAGTTCATGACGTCACAAACAAAGGATCATTTAGAACTCTAAAACTTCACACTCAGTGGTCGTAATTCTACTACGTATAACTCAAAGCCGACGCTGACATTAATCGCGGACTAAGACAGAGTTCAACAAAGTACTGAGGTCCCTTTTGATAAATGTGACTGAGACCCAAAAATGGGTTTAAACGAATGACTATTACTAGGATGCAGACTATTTTAATTCATTTATATTATTTTTGTAATTTTCGTCGTCCTTGCTCATCAGCACTGCAAGTCAAATGTTCTATCATTGAACAGATATAAAGAATTAATAATTATCTATGTCACGGTAATATTCTATACGCTTATAATTGATGAGATGTCGCACATGAATCCTTGATTCTTGGAAAAGACAGAAAAGGGAAAGTATAACGTATATCAAGATGACGTGCCCCAAAGGCTAGGACTACAACGCCGTGGTATAACTATCCCATGACAACCACCCCCTTCAAAATAGTGGCCCAAAGTAGCCGAAAATAACTACCAAGGGATTAAGGGATTAATCATATTAGGGAGATGACAACTTGTATACTTTCGTGGTTGAAACAGCCCCTATATACTGGGAAATCAAATCTTGTTAATTAGTTTTTGGTTATATGCAAGTTCTCTATCAAATGTAATTTTATTATCATAATTCAAGATCGACTTTTACCCAAGGATCAAGTGTTAATATACCGATTAATTTGATTCGCAAAGTAATTCTATTATTATGTTCCTTTACAATATATTCACATCGTGTTGTGTAGTATCACCATGCTTCAAGCATTCAAAAATACTTCTTCCATTGCTGAATGTCACCATGATGTAATGCAATAAACAAAGAAGCAAATATCCATCTTGATCCAAAGTTCTTGTAGTATAAAGTCTTATCTAAGTTCATCCTGCCTTCGATACCGTACGTACAGTAAATACAGACAAAAACAAGAGCATTCAAACACTTCGTTTCGGCACATTTGGCATGACCTGAAATGTTATACCCTCTATATGAAATGCCTTAAATTATCCCAGTCATTAAAAACATGATTACTTCAAATTGAATACATGTGAAAAAAATAAAAAACCGGGAAACTCAATTATATTCTTATACCGTATAGTGTCACAGCAGCACCAGGTAATATTGTGCAAACATTTTGGAATAAGAATTTCCTGACTTGTCATTGTTGCTTCATTGAACAATCAAGAGGTTTTTTTTGTTGTTGTTATGAACAGGTAAAATCCTATACTTGAAAATGGAAAATAACTCGAATACATTCATCATAAACATTGAAAATACAAAACAGTATGTACAGTTGTACATCAGTAGGAAAAGTAATTCATTTTTATTGTTAATGCAACTTCAAATTGATATTGATATTTCTATCAATAAGAATGTGAACGATGATATTTAATAAAGGATCCCTGTGGAAGGGCAAAACACAGAATGTGATTCTAATAAAATATATTTTTTATACAAAATGCATGTTATTTTGGTTTTAGATTTTGTTGAAATGGTGGCAGTTGGCCTATGCAAAAGAAATGTTTTATATTCTCTAGATTTACATCATTTCCAGAATAAATTTAAAGATACCAAGTTTGCAGTGGCAACACAGACAAATTATTAGTATATTAAGTACCACAGTGTTTTAATTTAGTTTTATCTCATCACTGTGTTTACATATTTTGGACGATCGCAAGGTCTTTCAAGAAGGGCAATTTCTATACCCAATAGTGTTACCTCTAAAAATCGTATTCTGTTCAATAGGTCATTGTGCTGTTTGATTTTTTTTTAAATCTCTGTGATCGAACATATCTCACTTTCTTACAATTTATTTACATTTAACATATGAGACATGCTAGCATCATAAACATACCACTCCACCGATAACCATTTGAGATTATAACTGTAAACTAGAGATAAATATATCCCATAACCGGATAATATTAGAAAAGTTGCAAAAAGGCACCGAAAATAAATCTGAAATATACATACCAGCACCTGAATAACTATAACAATTATCACATTATTAGGACTATATAAATATATTTTCGAATGGATACAAAATTCATGTAGTGTTATCTTCATGAAGTGTTAATATTATCTACAATAGTTTGTGTCTGCATTTATAATACCTTAACCAATCATCATAAGGCTATACCCAAACACTGCCACCGAAATGCTACACAGACAGATAATGTCTATTATATCCTGCATAAAAAATGGATTGGTTTTTGATTGGTTGAGAGCTCGTCACGTGACCAGAAATATTTCAACTATTTTAAGGTTGCCCTGAAAAAGTACTATTTTGGAGCACAGCCTATGTGGGAGTTGAAATTATTTTTTGATTTTTTTAAATATTTTTTTTCTTTTCAAATCTTAATTTAATAATTGTTTTAATAGTTCTAATTCTTTTTTTCTTTTGTAAATAAATTTTTGTTGCAGGATATAAAATAAAATATATCATGCTTTCTTTTCGAGGTATTGGTTAAAACTATTGGCCTCGGTGCCAATAGTGCTATTGGAGTCACCTATTGCGCATAGTTTTAACCGGAACCTCTCAAGACAGTGTAAATTTGTATACTATTTCTGCCTCCTCGTTTTCATAGAAAAAAATATGGTAGTTTCCAAACAGTTGCTCCAAAGCTCTAATGGCAACGAATTTACTTTCCAAGAGGTATATCCGTAATGTCCGTCAAACGTGGCAAAGAAATAAACCTAATTCCTTGACTCATGTACGAATCGGTTAGACTGCAGTACAACGTTTTCACAAACAGTATGTACGTCCAGGCGGTAAGAAATCTATCGGATAATATATAGTAAACTATATTGTGCATGAAAATAAAATAAGGCATTGCATAATTTGTACTCCTTCAATGGAATACGATACAACAGTTCCAATATGGAATTTATTACATATGAATACATTGGAATAAATATATCTGATTTCACTTTAAGTTGGCCCTATACCTAGTTATGGGTAGTATATTAAAGCTGTGAACGTGACAATACTTGTTCTTAAATTCTGTACCAGATTCAGTAAATTGGTGATAATATTATGTTTCGTAAACGATAGTCTTTTGACTTAGTGAACCTTGAAAACGTGGCCACATATCGCCATATATGTAATTATTATAATCATCTATGTAGAGATTGTATTGGATCCAAGCAAATGGTGGCGGTAATATGCTCATAAACATGTGTAACATAGAGACTCAATTCTGCATGGACCAGGTTTTTTGTTTGATCGTTACCATTATTGGTGGTACGCGACTAGTCCTTTAAACCCTTACACAGGCTATTTGTTCGCTATTAAAATGAACATGTGCTTCGTTCCGCCTGCATGTTATAGGTAATCTATGACCCTTCGCCGTATGCTTCCATAAGCATATGGGTAAACATAGCAAGCACGATGTCGCGTTATTACAGTCCCACTCGTATCAAATCGTTGACTGTTTTCACAATCGTCTCTGTAAGAAACGCGAAAAGAGTAAAGGTATTCATTAACTTGCCGCCGTCGTCATGGAAGAGCCGCGACTCAAGCCTAGGTTGCGAAGTTTATCTCTCTTCTACTACGATATCGTCGCTGTCGGCTGCGACGACGTTGCTGGTTCTGCTGGTACATGGAGCGATCTCAGCGGTAGTGGTCGTAGAGGCCGGCCTGCATTTAGCAACTTTGTCGGCCGGCGGTTTGGGCGTCGAACATGCCGCCTTCGCGGTCGATTCCCTCTCTTCTTTATCCCGCTGATCGATTATCAGCTGCTTCATCATGCGCAAAGTGTCCGTTGCGCCGTAGTCGCCGGGAAGGTTCGGCTCATCATCGGCCTCTGTCGTGCTTGAGCGGCTCAACCTCTTACCCATTCGATTCATGTCGGTGCCCATCGCCCCAATCGCTTCGCCCGTCTCAAAGCGAACCTCGGAGATATTTTGGCGGATTTCTTGCAACATCTGCCGCTGGCGTTGTTTGCGGTCTGGTGATGAAGAGCGCCCTCCTTTCGTGCTGCCCTGGCGCCCCACGACCTTCTGCATGACATTCTGTAGAGAATAGAATGAGATATATAGAGAAAGAGAGAGAGAGAGAGAGAAAGGATCAGAATGGAGAGAAAGAAAGGGTGAGGTGAGTGAAGGATAGGCAGACAGACCGGAAAGTAGAAAGAAAGTGAGAACACAAATGGGTCAACTTAGTTATGTAAGATATAACAAAGATGGAATTCACTCAAACTATCAACAACAAAATTAGTTAGGGTATTTCTAGAAAAATGGTCTTTTTAAAGAGAAACAGAGAGAAAGAGCCTTCTTCTATCTGAGTAACAATCTGGACAACTTGAACATAACCTCATAAGGCATGTAAAAGGTTATTTTGGGTGATCTACCTTGATTTGTGACAGATCATCATGAGTATATAGAAATCTTTTTACATGCAAACATTATATCCAAAAGTTCGTGGATTGATCCAACTGCTACATTTGATACTCCTCTTCCGGGCAAAAAGATGTTGAGTTAATGGAGTTTCCAACATCAACAAAATCCATTTGTATTATTATTCAATTGCATTAAGGGATTAATAAACCCATAGTCGTCTCATGAATTGGGGACATTATGTATATTGCCAGGCTCAAATAAAACATTGTGTATAACGAGGAACTCAGTCGTCGAATTACCATGAGACTTTCAAAAATGGAAAAACAAATTCAGCTAATTACGCCCATGATTGTCATGGGCATCGATTTTTAATACCGGATAGCACCGATTAAGAAAAGGGATAAGTTGTTCTGCCTCACTCGTCAGGGTCTCTTGGTGTAATTTGAATGCGCACTGGCTCGTAGAAAGTAAGCCTGTGTCACTCTGTAAATAATGCAGGACTCAATTAACAAATGTACTTTTATCGGATGGAAGTATTCGAACCATGAAGACCAATTTATCAACGTGAAAAGTGCAAACCCGACAAACCATGTTTAGGCCATTAATACACAGCCCCCCCCCCCCCCCCCATCCTCGTCAGAGGCGTATCCAGTTTAAGTCCGTTGCCCTTTTGGAAGGTCAAGGGGTCACTCAAAATACAACTTGCATTCTTCGTACAGCGCGTGACCCCCCCCCCCCCCCCCGTTATCAATTTCTGGATACGCTGCTGTAGCAACTACGAGACGAACATATCCACGAATCGCTTCTTAGAACTAAACATTGTAGTTGACTTGTGAATTTCTTATAACGAAATATGATTGCCTAGCCTTGTCGTTGTTGACAGATGTTAGCTAAATAATATTTTGGTACAAGGCTACAGGTCCTTTTTAATTCTATGTAACCTTAACTTCCAGCGCCCCCCCCCCCCCCCCCCATCCAACAAACACCCTTTACGCATAGGCCTATTTTATAACAAGAAATATCAGCAATAATATAAATTGTTCCAAAATAAGCTTTGAAAAAGTTAAAACATGGACCAATTGATTTCACATCGACCTTAAATGAAACATTAGTCAATTTGATTCTTTGTAATTATTAGAATTTTCTCTCTTGATCTCGGCACGCGTTACCTATGACGCGACAGTGCAGCCACCCCAATTTGATTTGTTAACGCGTTAGGCCTATAAAACATTGAGCCCGAGAGTGTATGTACGCTCACGAAGTGACACGCAGGTGATCGTCTTCGTTGTCCCGTTGGATCAAAGAATATTTTCTCATCGGTTCCAGTTTGGAAGCTCCTCTTCTTTCTGTTTCTCATTTTCTGCCATCTCCGTCTCACTTGTTTTCCTCTTAAACTACGACTGTCATTTTCTATTCCCTTAATGTGTCTTTCGATCTCATCCTGTATCTTAATTTGTTCACTGTCTACATTTGCTTCTCGCTCTCCTCCTTTGTGGGCCCTCTTCATGTTTGTCCTTTCTAATATTTTATATCTAATTATCGCTATTCCATCACACCCCACCCCCCCCCTCTCTCTCTCTCTCTCTCTCTCTCTCTCTCTCTTTTCAATTTCTTTCTCTCTATCCCTCTCTATATCTTCCTTCCTCCTTCCCCGTCTCTCGTTTTTCCTCTCCTTTCATTTCTGTCACTGCATCTCGCTGTCTTTCAAAACCTACTTTCTTCCTTTCTCTTTCTTTTACCCTCTCCTCATATCTCTGTTTCTCTTCCCTCTGTTTCTCTCTATTTTCTCTCACTCTCTCTCTCTCTCTCTCTTTCTCTCTCTCTCTCTCTCTCTCTCTCTCTCTCTCTCTCTCTCTCCCTCTCATCTTTCATTTTCATTTTCCCCCCTCAAGTTCCCTTCCCTTCGCTTTCTCTCCAGGGTGCGACATGCAACGGTTCAAAGATGGATTATAATCGTCTGTTCCCGGTTGCCACGACAACGAGAAAGCATGATCAATTTAGCTCGTAATACTCTGATAGCCTGTCACATATATGGCAGAATGGTACCAATATTCTTCAATTGATTCCCTAATGTCCTTTTCTCTTATTCTACACAGACGAAGCACTAAGGAAGAAAAGTGCAGAAACACATTTCCCTGCCTGGATAAATACAAAATTAATACATTTAACACAATAGCGCAAATCCTGCGCCTTTGCATATTTTTGAAGTACAGCTTTAAGCAGCTTTTTAAAAACTGAATTTGAATGACATTATTGATTTTGTCATTGCTATCAAACGATCAACATAATGCATCGAGGTACAGTCAAATTGTGTTAACTTGACCATTGAATGAGGAAGACCTAACACGCAGCAGCATCTTCAGCAGAGCTGGAGATCTGCTCCCCAAACTATTTAAAAGGTAGAACAGTTATTTAAAGTGGCATTTTAACATTAAAAGAGTTTAATAACACCAGTTATAGGGTGAAACCTCACCTCCCCCTCAACTTTTATATGACAAGTAAAAAAATTCCATCCTAGCGGCAAAACACTGTGCAATTTTAAAGACTCATGCGTTATCTCTTCATTTAAATTTGGTAATAGTCTATCTGCTTTTAAAGAGTGACATATCCTTTGCGTTGACCAATCTGTGATATGGATGCCGTGAATATACATGAAGAATCGGGGTCAAGAAAATCACCAATATAAACACGCATCATTCTAAGCAAATCACTTTCAATTCAAATATTATTTCTATCCTGCCGTTACCCGCCCCCACGCAATAGCCAAAGCGATCGACGGACTCGGATGGAGAGTAATTTTGACATAACAATATCAAAAAGTCGCACGAGCCGAGCAATTTTCTATTTCATTCCATACGGATCGCGACCAGATGAGAACTGACAGCCTCTTGGTTTCAGGACACGACGTTATTTATCAGCTGTGGCGTATCCGGGGTCATATTCGGGAGGGGGCGCCAATGATAGTGCCTACGGTACTGAAATCGCCGAAATCGTTTTTTTTTGTTTTGCATATACCTTTGCAATCTTGTTTTCTTTTTTTCCAGAAGCAAACCAAAGAAGAAAACCAATTACAAACAAACATGCTGTCGTACACCTAGAATACGCTTAACGGGGGCGCATGTAATATGTCCCCTAAAGTGGACGTATGCCCCTTTGCCTCCTCTCCCTCCCACGATTGAATCCGCCTCTCATCGTTGCAAGGGATGGGAAGTGATTCGTCTTTCGAAAGTGGTACTTTCTCCCAAGACCAAGGATGATATGGAGACATATTGGTAGGAATATCCCGCTTTGCCCCCCCTTCTCAGTCCTCCCTACCCCTCCCAATCCCCTGATCATTGCGATGAATGCACGAAATTGGAAGTGATTCGTCCTTCGAAATTGGTGCTTCTCCCTAGTCCAAGGATGTTATGTGGATCTTTGGGGTGGGCGTGTGCCTTTCGCCCCATCCAAGCTTGAATCCGCTCCTCATTATTGCAATGAATACAATAGATGGGAAGCGATTCGTCCTTCGAAAATTATATTTTCTCCCAAGACCAAGGGTGTTATGCAGATATATTGCCCCCCCCCCCACCTTTTCCCCCTTTATCTCCATCCCGCCCACGCCCCTGATCATTGCGATGAATGCACGAAATTGGAAGTGATTCGACCTTCAAAAGTGGTGCTTTCTCCCTGGTCAAATGATTTGATGCAGACCTGGGAATATGCGCCTCAATGCCCCCCTCCGCTCCTTTTGAGCTTGAATCTGCCCCTCATCATTGTGAAGAATCCACAGAGATTCAACCTTAAAAACTGGCGCTTTCTCCCAAGTCCAAAGATGTTATGCAGACCTAGGCTATGGGGTGAGCGTGTGCCTTTATACTTTATAATCCCTTTTCCGTCCTCCATTCACCCCCCCCCCACTCTCCCACGCTTGAAGTTGAACCCGCCCCTCATCATTCCGACGATGACACAAAATGGAAGTGATTCGACCTTCGAAAGTGCTACTTTCTCTCAAGATCAAGGGTGTCATGTAGTCTGGGGACAGAGTAATCTTTTTCTAGTTTAAGCAGTCAGTATCTCTCATTCACCAATCATCGAAACTGGTTGGTATATAAATGAGAGGCGACGTGGCTTGCATGCTGAGTGAGTGACTCCCAATTTATAACATTGTGGTGGTGGGAATCTAAGGATTGGTATAGATATATTCGTGAGGCAGCGAAACATAATTTTATTAAACCGTGAAATACAAGAGGTACGATTGGGAAAATGCAAGGTCAACCACATACGTAAACGGAACGGTTCGAATACATGAAACAAGGGAATTACTCTTTTGCAGACTGATTTACTTTCATCTTAAAATGCATATTGTTTTCAATGACGTATCACGTTATCCAGACTATGGAATACACAATAGGGAATCGCCATGCCTTTGAGATGACCCTCGAAAGTATCTGTGATAACCATTTTTAATACTACTTCATATGCAAAAAGCACATATAGCTAAATGCATTTGATTTGAAAAAACAATAACTCTAGACTTCTGAAGGGAGTGTTTGTGACAACTTTCTTTATAATTTACCAACAAAATTAATAAGTTTTTAGTACACGACTGAACTATAGATGCCAGAAAATTGCGGGTCTGCTATAAAGCTAGAGAATCGACGATATAATTATGCGACACCATCACGATTTAC